ATTTGGTTTCAGTCGGTGGATTTGGTTTGAATTCGCTGGTTTTGGTTCAGCGGTATGGAGTCGGTGGCTGTCACGGGTTGCTGGTTTCGCTGGTATGAAGCAGATTTTGATTTCAGTCGGTGGAGACAGGCTGGCCAGTTGGTTTGTGGTTGCTGGGTTGCTGGTTTCGCTGGTTTTGGCTCAGCGGTATGGAGTCGGTGGCTGTCACGGGTTGCTGGTTTTGCTGTGTAGGCAGTCGGTGCTTTATGGAGGGAGTCGGTGCAGTGGGTGAGACAAGTGGGTTTGCGGCTAGGGGCTGGAAGACAGTGGGTTGCTGGGTCGGTGAGGCAATCTCGGTGGAGGCTAGGTTAGGGAGAATGTTAGGGTTTGAGGTAGGGTTAGTGTATGGCTCTGATACCAACTTGGAATAAACGTAAGTGAAAGGGATACTCAAATTAAGAGTAGAGCCCCGTATATATATCCAAAAATAATACAGAGTGACTTAAACATCCTTGTAGTTTAGGCAAAATATAAAAATCATAGTAAGGGTAAAAAAGGAAAAAGAAATCCTAATAAACTAGACTATCTATACTCCAACATGCATCAATTCACAAAGCTGCCATGTTGAGATTTGGTCTCATATCTGGTTTTCTATGTACTGATATTTTGAGCTTGGAGATGGTATTTCAAGGCACGAAGCTGTTCAATTTTAAGAGACATTAAATGTAATTAGAGATTGGTTAAAATCCTCTTGAAGGATTAAAGCCATTTTTTCAATTTTTAGAACTTCTTGTTCTTTGATTCTTGTAATTCATTTTTTTTAGAAATAAAATTTTATTTTTTTTAAAAAAGATGTGAAATGTACAATGAATGGAAAAAATGTGAAATGTGTTAATTGTGTTAGTTTTTTATTGAACACATGTATTATTGGTGTCTAGGTAAAAATATTTATTTTAATTTCATTTTTTATGAATTATTTTAAAAAAAAAAAAAAATTTGCGACGAAATTAAAATCGTCGCAAAAAATTGTAGGAACAATTTTTATATGTCGCAAATGTATTTATTCAATTGTTTTTTACATTTTTTATTCGTTAAAAACTTATTTGCCATGTTGTTTTTGCGTCGCGAAAAATTAATTTAATTATTATTTTTTACATTTTATTTATGGAAAAAATTATTCGTGACGCGTTTTTTACGTCGCAAATAATTGTTTTAATTATTATTTTTTACATTTTTATCTATGTAAAAAATTATTCGCGACAATTTTTTTACGTCACAAAAAATTAATTTAATTATTATTTTTTTATTTTTTTAAGTTAGTGGAATAAATTTTAGCTACGTTTTTCTTAACTTTTAGCAACGTTTTTGTTTCGTCGCAAATTTTTTTTTTTGCGATGAAAATAATTTTGCTTGGCAAAATGCTTTCTGCGACAAGGACGCGACAAAACAAAAAACGTCGCAAAAAATAATTTACGACAATTTTTTTGAATTTGGCGACGAAAAAAATCATCGCAAAAAATAATTTTTGTTGTAGTGACTTGAGAATTGTACTAGTATTAAAATTGTTTCTCAATCATATAATATCTATTTATATCTATATATAGATTAAAACTATTTTATCTCTCTCTCTCTCTCTCTCTTTCACACACACACACAGTATATATATATATATATATATATGAGATAAATAGTAATATTCAAAATAAAAAAATAGTAACATTCAAACAAAAAATAGTAAGATAGAACATTAACATTTACAACCAGCTCAACAAAAAAATAATTACATTAAACAGTAATATTCTCAACAAAAAAAATAGTTATATGAAGATTTTGCACAATAGAAAAAGTAGTAACATAAAAAAAAATAGTAATATGATGATCTTGATGTGTCCAAAAAATTATGATTTCATTACAGTATCAAAACATCTCCACAATGCCTCAAAGGTGATCGACGAAATGCCCCGAAGAATGTTCCTACTTTTTCAATGATTGCAATATCATGTTACTAATTTTTTTATGTTACTACTTTTTTATTGCATATGCTACTATTTTTTTTCATCACGTTACTATTTTTTTTATTGTGCATGTTACTATTTTTTCTATGGTACAATTTTTTTTCATATAACTACTTTTTTTTATTAAGCATGTTACTATTTTTTTTATGTATGCGTGTCTGTAAGAGAGATAAAATAGTTCTAATCTATCTATATATAGATATAGATAGATATAATTTTAATGCTAGTATAAATCTCAATATAAGAGTTGTTAATGGTAGTACAATTCCCAATTTAGAAGTTATTAATTTTCGCAATTAAGTTTTAATTAAATATAACTATTGAGGGTATTTTGGACAATAAAAATTAAAATTGACTTATTCCCAAACAAATTTTTTGAGTGGAATAAGTCTACAAAAATTACCCTTGTTCCTGGTTTTCATAGGGAGTTTTTTTATTTCTGTCGTGTCACTTGATGGTGTTTTTATGTTGAGCGGAGAAACATCTTGTGTGGCAAAAATGTGAACGGTTTGTCAAGCGAGGTGCGATCGTAATGGCTAATGGGTGGTAAGGTGGGTATCTGCTCCCCTCTCTTTCTGTCAACCTCTGAGACCTCATCCCTCTGTATAGAGCTTTAGTCTTACGATGAATACCTAATAATTCTACCAACTATCTTTTAATCTATGATATATCTAGAGCATTGCTTAGTACTTAATAGTATCGAGTGTTCTATTATGCACAAAAACTTCTAAGTCAATTTTAATTATTCTAGATACACACATAAAAACAAGAAACTCCTTCTAAAAATCTATAACAACACACAAAGGGACGGCTCTAACAATAGCAATGCAAGTAATGCACAACCAGGAGGTAAGTCTGGCAATTTTAGACACTGACTTAATGGGTTTGGATGGCTAACGAGTTAATTAAGCAGACCCTCCGTGAAATAAAAGAATTTGTTTCATGTTTAGCCCATAAACTCGATTCAACCCGTTAACAGTTGTACTATAATTTTTTTTAAAACAAAATTAGGTCTCTTAGTTTCTGTCTCATCTCTTAGACTCATTCCAATTTAGTAGTCATTTAATGCATATTTTGTCTTTATTTTTTTGCTTAGTTATGATTTATTATTATAGTAAACAAGTCAAACATGTGTAATGTGTAGCAAGCTGATGGTTTTTTGTGTGTACTCGAAATACTCTAACTTATTCTCTTATGTAAAGGGTTGTCTACACAGGTTGTATCGGGTAACCCGTCTAATAAATGATTCGTGTATGAGTGTGATAATTGGATTCGTTATATAAATGAATGGGCTATAAATTGAGGGTATTTTTGACACAAATTTATTCCACCCGATACAAAATCGTTCCACTCGACACGATTGCCAAGCCTACCGAGAGGAGAACCAAATGGTCTTTGTTTTGTCTGAACGCAAGCTTATTATTGTCTAGGTGGTTCGGCTCATTGGTCATCAGTCTGGTTATACTGATGGCAGCTTGTAATAGTCTTTATTAACACGATTAATTGACACGAATAATAAACATGTCAAATTAAGGTTCGACACGAATAACACAGATTAATGAGTATTGTAGATAGAAAATAAATATTTAACGAGTATTATAGAAAAAAAATAAGAATTTTTTAAATAATATTATATGATTTGTTGTGAAATTAAATAATTTTTTATTGATACAAACCCGACATGTACAAAAAATAACCCAATTGATCGTACCCCTTCATTGGATTAAGTGCAACTTCACTATCATTTATTGTAACTTAAGGTACGATACCACTTACCAAAAAAAAAACTTTTATGGCATGCAAAGGTCCACCTCTCTTTAAAGATGCACATTACCTGCTTAAATCTTACTTTTTATGGCTGATCTGAGAGAGTCATGGTGCAGGAAAGACAAT